CCCATATTCAATTTAATTGAACATGAATTCAATATTTATAGGCTCTGGAGAAGACATCAAAAGATGAAAAGACAAGTCTTTCCATGCAAGGAGTTTTTATTTCTGCAGGAATCCATATGTCCTCAAGAAACTGTCAGATCAGAGTGAATGTACCATGGCCCTCAAGGGAGGCATTAAGTACAGCGGTGGTGAAAAGGCTATGATAACAGAGCAAATTTTCCAGATCCCCAGAACAGAATTGAAATCACTTTCAGTTGGCAGGAATCAGGAACTGCTTATAGAGGAAACCTAATGAATTTATTCTAAAAATTAATTAAATCATATAAATTAGATAAAATTTAATGAATCAACATTAAATTCAAGAGTGGAGACTATGTCTGATTCTCATTTTATCCCTAGTACCTAGAACCAGAGCCTGGAACATAGTAGTAATTTAAGTACCCGACAAATATTTGTTGAATTGACCTTAAATGATTGAATTAAACCCTTGATTGAAGTAAGACTTCAATCAAGTAAAATTGGGACAAGCAGAGCAGGTCTTTCCAAAGAAAAGAAACACACCATGAGCAAAAACAAGAAAAGAGGAAAATGTGAGCAGAGAGTAGCCTAATTTGAGTGGATTAAGTTTTCAGAGAAAAGGCCCTATTTGGAAGTTGAATGGTTTTATGTGAGACACACCAGTTTCAGTAGGGTGGTGAAAGCTGCAGTCCAATATCAAGGAGATGTGCCCAAAGAAGGTGGTGAGAGAGTAGAACAAGCAACATGGACTCTATTTCAGACTTTTGGCCAAATGTAGGCTGAATGAAAATGGGCAAAGGGTGAGAATTTTTAGATTGGAGAGAGTACATTCGTAGGGAGGGAGAGAGAGAAGGACAGATTAAGATAAGAGTGGGAAAGAAGACAAGATAGATGGGCTAGGATCTCTTAGGACGAATGAGGGCATGGAATCAAAATCAAAGGTATAAGAGGCCCAAAATAGACACAGACGGCAAATTGGCTTTGCTATTAACTATTTAGTTTAATTTTGGGCAAGTCGCTTAATTCTCTGAGTTTGTTCTCTCATCTGTAAAATGGAGATGAAACTTACACCATAAGATTATGATGTCTAAATAAAATAACTTTTATTAAATAACTGGCATACACAGTATACCACTATAAAAATAAGTATGTCTTATACAATTATATAGAGACTATGTCTACTTACAGATTATATGAATATATAGAAGTATATTGGTTTTTTAAGGCTGCTGTAACCAAGTACCACAGACTGGGTGGCTTAAAACAACAGAAATTTATTCTTCCTCCGTTCCAGGAGGCCAGAAGTCCAAAACCAAGGTGTTAGCAGGTTTGATTGCTTCTTGAGGGCTCAGAGGAAGAATATGTTCTATGCCTCTCTCCTAACTTCTGGTGGTTGCCAGCAATCTTTGCTTTTTCTTGGTTTGTGGCAGCATGAATCCAATCTCTGCCTATCGTAAGGCATTCTGCCCATATGTCACTGTATGTCCCTGTGTCTTTTCTCCTTTTTCTTATAAGGACTTCAGTCAAATTGGATTTAGAGCTCACTCTATTTCAATATGACTTCAATCTTAAGGAGTAACATCTGCAAAGACCCTAGGTCACATTCTGAGTTTCCAGGTTGATATGAATTTTGGGGGGGACACTATCAACCCAGTACAAGATGTATATTCCTAACTTATCCTTATTTTTATAATAGCTTCAATAGGCTATTATTATAAGAACTAGGATTTGGAGCTTAGACAGGAGGACAGCAAAATGGTTGGGAGCTTAGTTCATGGAATTTGAATTCCATCTACTCCTCTTCCCGGTTGTATAGGCTTAGAGGCTACACTCTCTTTAGTTGACTCATCTGATAAACAGGGAGTAGTACTTTAGAGTGTTTTGAGAAATATTAATTGAAGTAATGTATGTAAATACTTAGCATGGTACCTGGCCCAAAGGGACCATACTTGGCTCAGTCAAAGGAGGCCGACCTGTGCTGTAGGCAGGGTAGAAGTGGGAGTTTCTGTTCACATAAACAGAGATGATTCATCATTTTCATCTAGTTACAGGTTAAAAGCACTGTTTGCAGAACCACTTGCATCATTTTGACTTACCATTTTGCTATCAAGATTTCTCCATGCCTGATTGTTCAACATTAACAAGAATGATTTACCACCATTGGTGACCTGCATTCCTTAGAAATGCTGGATTATTTGTCTTTGACCTTCAATGTCTAGCATTTCAGTTTGCCTATCAACTTTATAACGTTTTACTACTGTACTCCAAAAGACATCATCTTAAATAGAATCATCATCATCTTTCTTAAGTTGTTTTTGGAAAGAATAATTTTAAATAAATAATGTCTTAAGTTTCATAAGTGTAATATATTATCTTTTTTTTTTTTTTTTTTTTTGCTGAGGAAGAGTCGCCCTGAGCTAACATCTGTTGCCAATCTTCCTCTTTTTGAATGTGAGCTGCTGCCACAGCATGGCCACTGACAGACGAGTGGTATAGGTTCACGCCCAGGAGCCAAACCTGGGCTGCCAAAGCAGAGCATGCCAAACTTAACCAGTAGGCCAGCTGGGCTGGCCCTGTAATACATTATCTTGATAAATCTTTATAACTGTTTCAAGTGGAAAGCCAGGTATTTTATCTCAATTTTTAAAAATAAGAAAATTGATATTCAAAGTGTTTACTTAACAAATACAGCACTTTATTCTATCCTGATCAGTGGCAATGTCATTTAATTACAGTAGTCCACCCTTATCTGAGGTTTCACTTTCACAGCTTCAGTTACCTGGGGTCAACTGTGATCTGAAAATATTAAATGGAAAATTCCAGAAATGAACAATTCATAAGTTTTAAATTGCATGCTGTTCTGAGCAGCATGATGAAATCTCTCACTGTCCCACTCCATCTGCCCAAGAAGTGAATCATCCCTTTGTCCAGTGTATCCCTGCTGTAGTCATTTAGTAGCTGACTTGGTTATCAGATCAACTGTCATGGTATCTCAGTGCTTGTGTTCAATAACTCTTATTTTACTTAATAACGGCCTCAAAGTGCAAGAGTAGTGCTGCTGGCAATTCAGATATGCCAAAGAGAAGCCGTAAAGTGCTTCCTTTAAGTGAAAAGGTGAAAGTTCTTGACTTACTAAGGAAAGAAAAAAATCATATGCTCAGGTTGCTAAGAACTATGGTAACTTTTATCACTGAGGATAAGGCGGAACTACTATATATCTTCCACAGTACTTGCTTACATTGGCCATATTCTAGGAGTTCATTGTTGATCATGTGGTAATGAAATATAAAAATTGTAATCAATACCTGCAGTCTATGGTAGTCACCTTTTTATCCATAAAGAAATCTCACTAATATACCTTTGAATAGACTTAAACCTTGGCCTGAGGTTATACTGCCAAAATCTATATTGGTTTCCTGTTGGTTTGCTTGATTGAACACTCAACTTTGTTAGCTTCCTGTTTTCCAGTATGCTATACTGAGAGACTTGCAGGGGAAGTAACAATCTGAACAAACCCTTTGCCATTCATGAAGCACTTTTATATCATGAGTCCAAACTCTTGTATTCAATTGATTTTATGGAGCAATATACAAATGCAGCATAGAAAGGTAGTACCTTTTAACACTATGCTTCCAGGCTCTAAATGGGCAAATAGTCTTTGGATTTTAAGAAAGTGATTTTAAGAATTTCTGTATGCTATTGTCTGTTATAAAGTACATGCATAACTAGGCAGGCAGGGAATTTTATAGACTGACTTGTAAGATCAAGACAAACTATGCACTAACTTCAAACCCCAGGAAGCCCAACGTTGTGTACCTACTATCTGAATTTAGAGAAGCCAAATGCAACAAAATTCCTGGCAGTACTAACAAGTTGCATATGCTTTAGATTTGGTATTTTGGCTCTACTTGTATTTCAGAGTGTATCTGCACTATCCTTTAGGTTAACTTTATAGAAAGGACAGTGATTTCCATTTATAACAGCTACATATGACAGACAAGGAAGCACTTAAAAAAATATCTTGGTGTATGTGTGCAAAAGACAACACTAGGCTGTTTTTATGTCTTCTGGATTCATTGGGAGATGAACTGAGTTCTTTTTCCATCTCTAATTTGTGTGCCTGCAATATATTAGCCTGGTATTCCACCACATGTAAATTTTTTAACAGAACACAGATTTCTGAGTTTGGGGCTCGCCTGAACTTCCTTTTTTAAAATACTGGAAGTATTGCAAATGAAAATGATCTCCATTACTTTTTAAATTGCATTTTACAAAATAAAAACAAAACATTTTTCAGATTTATTTCAGAACATTCAAAACCCCAGGAATGTTTATTGATATAAACCCACATAGATTAAGCAATTTGGAGATTTAGGGTAAATAGCCACCACTTTGTAGTAGTTTTGGTAAAGAGAAAGCATTTCAGCACATGTTCTGCCACAAAGCATTTGGGAGTCTTAAGTTAGAGCTTCAGAATTCCTTCTGAAAAGGACAAAAGAGAGACTTCCTGTCATTTCCATTGGTTTCTGCATGTGGGACCAATATGGGCAATGCAAAGTTTAAACAGATGCAAATGATGAGGGGAGGAGGCAATGCCATGCCTTGTTTTACATATTTCTCCAAATCCAGATTGAATTTAAGTCAGCCTCTCATCGGAGCTTCCAGAGTAGACTTCCACTGAAGTTCCAGCACGCTTGAATGGTTTGTTTCACCAATATTTGCTTATGGAAATAAAGGGGAGTAACGGGCGAAGGAGGAGAGGAGTGGAGGAGGGGTCTGAGGCCGAGGGAGGCTCTGACCACAGCACAGCGCACCAGTAACCTTGTCTGATGTGATCATTAACCTTTCTGGAAAACGCGGCTGGTCGTTCTCTGAGGTTTGTCATTAGAATGTGAGGAGAGCCACACAGATACTGCATAGACTATTCAAAGACTGTTTAGTTTACTTTGAGAGCTGTTGCTCCTACTTAGTGTGGCAGAAAAATGCGACTTCAACAGTTCTTTTTTGTATTTTTAATTTTTATGATGAGTCTTCTTATCAACGGGCAGAGACCAGGTAGGATTTTGATCCATTTGTACCCAGTAACTTGTTTTTATGCCTGTTTGGGTCCTCGGGCCTCTGAGCGTGATTGTGTTTATGTTGAAAATCATCTAGGCGTGTTTGCGGTTATTGGCGGTGAGTGCCTGGGATTTTGGAAGTATGCTATCTGTCTTGTTAGGTCCATTCGTAGGATACTTTAAAAAATAACTGGATTTTTAAATGATGATAAATATTTTACCACTATTTTTCTAAATTCAAAGAAAACTGATCTTTGTTTGTTGTCCTTCTAAGTAAAAAGAAATGAGAATGTTTGGTCTAGTCGCTACAGAGCTAAACAAACTTATAGATTTTTAGACAAAATGCAAAATCCAAAGCAATTTATTAAAAGAGCATGTTGCTTGCTGGAGTGGGGCAACGTTAACTGAATTAACAATATATAAAAATCGTAATGTACAAGATGCAGATGACATCTTAAAACAGGTCAATAGCTGTTATTTCTAGTTATATAATTAGATGTGTCCCTTAAAACAAAAAAGTGCCAATTTTAGTATTGTATTTATAGAGCCAAAAAAATGTCAAAAATATACATGGTCAGGATAATTAACGTTAATTTACTTAACACGTGTTTCAAGGATGATATCAGTTGTGTCGCTCTTAACCAATAGGGATTTAGTAAGCAGAGTTATTCTAATGTGCTTTTACTTCAAAACCAAATATCTAAGATTTCAAAGCACTGGCAAGTAAAAAAATTAGAAAGTTTCTAACTCAATAAAAAGCAAACCCAAATTTAAATAGAAAGGTGATAATGTTTATATGCAAACGTTAGATTATTCGCTTAGTAATATACATCTCCATTTAGAACAGAAAATGCTGCATAATTGGTTAAAAATTCAGTCTCTGCCTGTTTAGTTAATCAGAAGTTTGATTACTGAAGTTATTGCAAATGATGTCCCCTGGTCTGCCTTTTCACAGAAATAAGAAAAAAGTTCCCAATCAGCAGCTGATCTCTTCTTACTGCTTATAGCGATTGCTATTCAAATCATTCCTGCTTTTCTGAAATACAGAACACCTGGGACAATGTTCTTGTAAAATATTTGTGATTAATTCACTACATAAAATAAAAGGTCTAGGAGCATTTAAAAAGAAATTGTGTAGAAGGAGGAGGATATTACTATTAGATCCTGCCATTAACATGAACTGTTAGGAATGCACCTTGTGTATTTCATCACATTATTTTTTTATGTCACCATCACATCTGAACAAATAGCAAATAATCACAGTATAATTTGGATCCAAAATATTCCCTTACATTCTCCAGATTAAACAATTAATTTTCTAAAAAATGCTCCTAATATTTCCCTTTTTTTCCTCAGCTAATTTGGCAATGAGAAGAAAATTGTACAGACACAACTGCGTTCAGAGGAGATGCATGCCTCTCCACTCACGAGTGCCCTTCCCCTGAGGTATTTCCGATAGAAAATAGTTTTCCTACATTTAGGCAATGTTCTAGATTAGATATATCAAAGAATGTTTATTCATATTTTGTAATCTGTGATAATGGCTGTACGGTGATGTCAGTTTCAGGGATGCATACTTACAAAACAAAACCGTGAAATGACATGATGTTTGGGAATTGCTTTAGTTGTCTAATGGGAGAGATGAGGAAAATGTAGGAGAATCTTGAGAACTGTCAAATCTGAGTGATAGTTATATATGAATTAATACTATTGTGTGTCTGACAATTATCATAATTAAAAAATCAGCAGGAGAATATCATTATGAAAGTATCTTTAAACATGTATTTTGAAAAACACTCAGTAGCTCCCTATGTTATTCAGAACAAGCACATTTCCTGTTAAGGCCACTGCAGGCTTGAAAGCATTTGGACATATTTGCCCAACACCAAATGAATGATGTACTAGCCTCAATACTTCACAGTTTATTTTTCCTGAAAATATTTCTTTTAATATACAAAATCAACTTAATATTAATGGCATGGCAGCATTCCAGCTTCACTCTTAGAACTGGTCTTGTTGGTTGCATCTTTAAGGATAAATTGAGAATAGAATTTTGCTGGTCTCTTTTTTTTTTTTTTTTTTAACATTCACTGAAAGGCCAATGATTTATATCATCACCATCACCAGTAATACTGCTTGAGTCATTTAACTTCAAACACTGCCCAAGTTTAAGTTGCTTCATACTAAAAAAATAACTTGGCATTCCATTGTAACAATTTTAAGCTCTTGAATTCATATAGAATATATTTCCCTAAAAAAAAAAAAAATGCCGTAGAAATACCCCTCAGCTGGTTAACATACACAGGTAATTGCTAAATTGGCTTATTCAGTTGGCCTATAGATTGTAGCGTTTATGGCACTATTCATTCAGAGGAAAGAATGGTTGCTATGCCTATTGTTTGATACGTGCTTTTCAAACTCAGTGAAAGCCCTGTTTGTAGTAAGACATTAAATGAAAGAAGGGCAATTCAGTGTAACAAGCATTTATCAAGAGGAGTAAGACAAAAAACCAAGTTTCTCTACACCTGTATCTGTAACAAATTACTCTTTGCTATCAAAATATGAAAAACAAATTTGACGGAGGAATCTAGAAAGATACAATAGAAGTTCTTGAGAAGCCATTTAATAGGGACTAAAACATGTTTTAAAAAGATTTTATATGTTAAAAAGTCCTTTGGTGTGTGTCGATAATGCATTTCAGTCTCACATATAAATAATGGTAAAATCTGAATTTAGGAGGAGTGGAGAAGGTCAAGATTTTCCCAGCACTCCTCCACAAATAACAAAGAGGAGAGGAGGCATTTCACAGTAGCAAGGGAATTCCTACATCTAGAGAAAGATACCTTGCATAATGTGGATAAAAGCCCTTAGTCAGCCACAAATTATATTGACTTTCTCCACAAACCACCTGCCATAAAAACCAGGGTTCCAAGTAAACAAGATAGAGTAGTGAAATTTGAATTGTCTAAGTTAAGAAAAATTTTGACCCATAAACCAAATTTGTAAACCAAAGGGAAATTTAAATAAAAGCCATATAAACCATTGAATGATAGCAATCCTTTACAAAATTTGACTGATCAGCTTTAAAGAACTGCTCAGTTTACAGCATCCATTTTCTCAGTGTTTGGACTAGTCCTACATTCCAGCTACAGTTCTTTGAAGAATATATAAGTTACATTTCGGAATCTAGCAATAGTATAAAAGCCAATGCAAGATAAAACATTAAGATAATTTCCCAAGATCTTGCTCAACCAGTGTTATAAAGTGCTACCTTCAAATTTGATAGCATAAATCTCACTGTCCTAAATACTTGGACATTTTTAATATCTTGCAACAAAGGTACTTTGACAACTAGTTAAAGGTGCTATAGACCTAGTTAGTGGAACTTGAAGGCAGAAGCTCCCTTTCATTTATCCCCCTCTGTTTCCTACATGATTTAGATAAAAACACATGTGGTTATTTGATTCAGTTAGGGTCAAGTAAGACTGTAAAAGGATAGGTAAGGTAAACAGTTGACTTTAGAAGTTTTCCAGATTAACTCTTTAGAGTGGTTTAGGCTTAGCTCATTTACTAGGAATGTCCTATTATCTTGACTCTGTCCATTTTTCTCGCTCCTAGAGTCTACCTCAGTGATCTTCAGTGTGATTTCCTAACCTGTACAATTGAGTTAATTAAACGGAAAATCTAAGCTGTATAAAATTCATTTTCTTGATTTTTTTTTTTTTTTTTTTTTCACCTTCAGCACTAAGTGAATTAGAATAGAGGCAAGCAAGAGAAAGGGTGTCAGGAAATCTAAGCTTACAGGTTAATGTGAGAGCAGTAGAGTGGAAAATGAGGTAGGGACCTTGGATTCTAATGATCTCCCCTTCCAATAGTAAAATCTCACTACATTAATGCTTTTATTTATAAATATGTACTCTAGATAACTACATATCCTATTAATGCATACTCATCTAGCTTTTTAATAATAATTGTGATACACGTTCGTGGTGTAAAATTTTTTTCTAACAGTATGGAAGAATGTAAAGTGAAAAGTAAGAGTCTTCCACCCTACTCCTTGAGAACACCCTATTCTGTTCCCCATTTTCACTCCCCAGAGGTAACAGCTGTGAAGAGACTTTTGGTAAAGGTACCTTTTAATACGTTATTTTAAATTGAGACCAACTAATTTTCTCTTGCCCCCCTGATTACCATTCAAAATACAAGTGCTTCTAGTTCTCTCTTTTCTACCTTATTCTTCCCCCTTCAAAGTCACAGGCTTCTGACCCCCTTGACCAGACCTCTGCCCTGCCTCCCAACTTTTTTTGCAACTCTCCTGTTGTCTTGGCTCTTCTCTCTCCGTTCTGCCTTAACTGAAAGCCACAGAATCCACACTTTAGTGGAACGCTTCGTCTCCAACTTTAGCACGGCTCTCTGGGAAGAACTCTTCTGCTTACTTTCAGGCACCTCTGACTCCCCTTCAGTCACATTTCAAACCTTTAATGACCTCTAGTTTCCTTAAGCTTCTTAACCTCCTTTTCCATCTCACAGCAAGGGATAACTCCTTCTCAGCGAACAGCCCGTCTGCTCTCTTTTTTTCATCTCAGTTACCACTATCTCAGTGCCTCTTCTCTCTCTCCAACTTGACTTTAACACTTTAACTGATCACTCCAGACTTCACTTCTCATTGTGGAAAGTCCATTTTTTGTTTTATCCTCTAATCTCTCTAAACTGTAAATCCAATCATGTCACACCTTGATTAAAATTCTCAACTGTCCCTGTGGTCTTCAGGACAGTGAGAACTCCCATAATTTAACAAACAACACCTTACAAAATGTACCTCTCCAGCATCATCTGTCACCTCTTCTCCTTTTCCCTCTCTCAGAGGGAATAAGAAAGAATTAAGACTGTTTGGACTGCATGGATGGAGCTCTGGCCACACAGTTCACTCACTGGAGATCATTGATAAGTCATTTATCCTCTTTAAGCCTCCCTCTACTTCCAGACCTGCAAAATGGAGCTAGTAATGGTATGTACCTTATCATAACCATACCACGCACGTAGTAAGTGCTAAATAGATAGTAGCCAAGGTTATTATTATTACTATTACTTTAAAGTCAGTCTGTTCTTCACCTCTTGCTGTTCCTCAAGCTACATTTCTGCCTGCAATGTCCTTTCTTTACTCTTTTTCTGACTGTCAATTCATCCCTCAAGAAACCTGCCCTGATTTTGATACCTCTACCAATTGTATTAGATGCCCACTTTTTGCTCTCAGCACCATTAGCATACTTCCTTCAAAGTACTTGACTCATTGCATTGTAATAATATGTGTTAACTGACTGTACTCCTCCCCTCCTTCCTCAGCATGCTGTAAATTCCCTGAAGGCAGATTGTGGGTATTTTGACTTTGTTAAATTAACATTTGTTAAGTGGAGCACAGAGTACAGAATGGTGAGCCAAGGTGAGCCTTAGTTCAACAGCTAACCACAAGGTAAATTGAAATAGAGAAGTTTATTACTCAGGGCTCCTGGGAGAAGTAAACAGCACACCTGGAGGGGCCACATAGGAAGGTCAGAGCAGAATGAAGAAAGAGACAGGACTTGGGGCATATGCCTTTATTAGGGTCTGTAGGTGGAATGCTTTGGGGTTCCTGGGCTAGGGTCAGATTGGTCAATTCAAACCAAAAGAGTGCGGTTTTGGTAAGCCACAGGAGTCTTATCTAAGGGGCACATAAGGTATACAGGCCCTGGGAGGCAAGAGAGACTATTGATCACGAGGGCTGTTGGGGAAGTCATATCAGGAACTTACATTTGCTCATGACTCTGAGGCTGCTATCCAGGGTATGAGCTTGCATGAGGGACTAGTGTCAGTTTAAAGTCCTTACAAGACACTTGGCCAAACAAAATGGATGCTGAGGCAATAATCCCATGGAGTAGCTTAGCTAAACTCGCAACGGTGGGTTGTATTTATCTTTGTATCTTCAGCTGAAAAGAATGCCCAGAGTACAGCATTCCATTAATGTTTCTAAAAGAAATGAAACTTTCATATATTATCTTAGAATTTAAGACTTACTATCATCAGATCCCAGCACACATTTTCAGCTTTATTTCCTAATATTAACTGCCGAACTGAACTCGGATTTCCTGTCTCTGTGCGGGAAGTGTTTTCTCGTCCAAGCATTCTTTCCCTCATCTCAAGTTCAAACCTTTCCCCTACCCCCAGGCTTCTCTTCAAATTCCATTTTTTATGAGGCCCACCCTGATCCAATTAGCTTAAAATAATATTCCACTATCTCTTGACAATCACAGTATTTTTATTAGTAGGTTTTTGAGCCATTTATCATATTCTACTTTATTTCATCGTATTTTTATCAGTATTGGAATGTGAATTCCTTAAAGGCAAGACTTGGCCCTGAAAGCTTAGAGTGTAAACCTTTACAATGTGTGAATGGCCTGAGAGTAGCCTGA